AAATCTTAATGCTAGTAAATACAATGTCATCCATGGGCTTCCAACTGTCAATGTTTTGCTTCACAAAGCAATGTCCATAAAATCAAGAAGAACTTGTCAGGCCTGCATAAATCCCACACTTGAACCCCGTTGATCACCTATGGGATGAAATGAAACACTGACTGCGAGCTGTCACAAAAAAAACCCCAATGCCTGACCTATATGCTTTGTGTCTTAATTGGAGCAAATCCCTGCATCCATGTTCCAACATCTATGTAAAGTCTTCCCAGAAGAGAAAAAGCAGTTAGGGAGGAGCTACTCCCTGCCCATGTTTTCAAATCAAATGTTTAGAAAGCAGATAAGGGTGTCGACATGTGGTGATCAGGTATACACTTACTTTTGGTCATATCTCTAAGTGGATTTTTGATTCTACATTAGAACAGCCTCTTGTGTTGCATTCACTTGCAAACCTTTTGCGTGAGAACACAAATATTTGCGAGAGAATGCACATTTTCTCATGGAAACGCAATGGGGACGTTGAACCCGGTGTCTGAGGGTGTGTCCCAATCCACTTACTTATGCACTTCTGTGCAGTTTTGTAGCATAAATAGTGTGAGTGTAGAAAATTACAAAAACAAAAAGTACACTTTAAATACACGGATCATCCGTGATCAGCACTACATTACCCGAAAAAACAAGGTGTAGAACTTTAGACACTTTATGCACTCAAATGTCACAGCTTTAGTTACGTAGCGGAGGGGAAGGGGCTATCAGACTCCGATGTTGAATGACAAAATAACCTTATAAAATTCATACACTACATGGTTGAGTACATAGTGCATAAGTACATAGTATACGTAGTGCGTCATTTGGGACACAACTTGAGGCACGTGTGAAATCAGTGCGATGACGTCACAAAGTGAACCTATAGCGTCAGCAACTGTCTGACGCAGGATTGAGTTCCCTCGAAAGGGAACGTCTTAGGGTTACATACAGTCGTGCTCAGAATTAATGGCACCCCTGGTAAATATGATCAAAACTGGCTGTAAAAAGAAAATCTGCATCGTTTATCCTTTTGATCTTTCATTAAAAAATTGCCAAAAATCTAACCTTTCATTGAAGTAAAAGAATTGAAAGTGGGGGGGAAATCACATTATTAAATAAATGTTTTTCTCCAAATCACGTTGGCCACAATTATTGGCACCCCTAGAATTTTTTACCAATAAAATATCTCTGAAGTATATTCCCATTAATGTTTACCTTTTTTAGCACACCAGGAGGACTAGGAACATGAAATTGTCCAGCCATGACTTCTTGTTTCACAGGAGTTTAAATATGAGGAAACACAAAGGCCAAATTCCCTTAATCATCCATCACAATGAGTAAAACTAAAAGAGTATAGTTCTGATGTGCATCAAAAGATTGTTTAGCTTCACAAAATAGAAAGTGGCTGTAATAAAATAGCTAAAGAATTGAAAATCCCCATTTTGACCATCAGGGCAATAATTAAGAAGTTCCAATCAACTAAAGATGTTACGAATCTGCCAGGAAGAGGACCTGTGTCTATATTGCCTTAATGCATGGTGAGGAGAAGAGATTGAGTGGCCAAAGACTCTTCAAGGATCACAGATGGAGAATTGCAGAGATTACTTGAGTCTAGGGGTCAGAAAGCCTATAAAAAAAAATCAAACAACCCCTACATCACCACATGTTGTTTGGGAGGATTTCAAGAAAAATCTTCCTCGCTCATCCAAAAACGAACTCCAACAAATTCAGTTGTCAGACACGACTGGAACTTCAAACGGCACAGGGTTCTGTGGTCAGATGAAAAAAAAAAAAAAAAGAGCTTTCTGGCAGCAAACACGCTAGATGGGTTTGGTGCACACAAGTATAGAAAGTATGTGTACAATTTAATATACCGTTGGATATTTAATGTTGTGGGCATATTTTTGCTGGAGGTCCTGGACTTCTTGTTCAGATGGATTGTGGATTCTATCAAATATCAACAGATAAAAAATCTAAACCTGACGCCTTCTGCTAGAAATCTTATAATGGGCCGTGGTTGGATCTTCCATCAGGACAACGATCCAAAACAAACATCAAAATCAACTAAAAAATTTGTTACGGAGCACAAAATGAAGCTTCTGCCATGACCGTCCCAGTTCCCTGACCTGATGAGTGGAGTGAACTGAAGAGAAGAAGCACCAACATGGATCTGGGAATCTGCAGGATCTGGAGAGATTCTGTATGGAGGAATGGTCTCTGATCTCTTGTCAGGTGTTCTCCAAACTCATCAGGGATTATAGGAGAAGATTGCAAAAAGTATTTAATAAAAGGGTGCCAATAATTGTGGCCAACGTGTTTTGGAGAAAAACATTTATTCCGCCGGGCTGCCCACCTAATCGTCAGTTCATCCCCAGGGCACAACGGGTAGATCTCATTCACACCATTCACACCTCTCTGGGCACTGGGCATCCCATCCCAACAACACTCTCTCACTGTTATCCGAACGCTTCTGGTGGCCGGGTTTGGCAGAGAATATTAAGAGATGTGTACGAGGTTGTAAGGAGTGTGCAATGTCCAAAAGTCCCAGACATCTACCTGCAGGAAAGCTCCATCCCTTGCCAATTCCTAACCGCCCCTGGTCACACCTAGGAGTAGACTTCATGACTGATTTACCTTCATCGGATGGAAACACCTGCATCTTCGTCATAGTAGATCGATTCTCTAAGTTCTGCAGGCTATTACCCCTAAGAGGTCTTCCCACTGCCCTGGAGACCGCCGAACTTCACTTCAATCATGTTTTTCGCCATTATGGGATCCCAGAAGACATTGTATCGGACAGGGGACCCCAATTCATATCCCGGGTATGGAAGTCGTTTTTCAAGCTCCTAGGTGTGACAGTCAGTCTCTCCTCTGGCTACCACCCTAAGACCAACGGCCAGACGGAGAGGAAGATCCAGGAAGTGGGGCGGTTCCTCAGGACCTTCTGTAATGGCCACCAGAACTCCTGGAACCAGTTTCTGGGCTGGGCAGAGTATGCCCAAAATTCACTGCGGCAACCCACGACCGGCCTCACACCATTCCAGTGTGTTCTTGGGTTCCAACCTCCCCTATTTCCCTGCAGTGGTGGAGGAAGTACTGAATCTCAGTACTTAAGTAAAAGTACAAATAACCAGAGACATATTTACTTTAGTGAACGTAGAAGTACCACAATGACAACCCTACTTAAGTAAAAAGTAAAAAGTACCTGATTTTAAATGTACTTTAAGTATTAAAAGTAAAAGTACTTGCATAACAATTTATTCTCTTAATGTCTATATTCTAATGATTAATAAAACAGTTAATCCTAACTCATTCAACCTAATAATCCTATAATGATGTTCAATAATGATGGAAAAGCCGTTATTTTTTAAGATTTTGTCACCATTTCTGAACAAGCTTGCAATTAGGCAATATACACATCAAGCTTAATTTGACAGGGTTTGGGTGTAAACGCGATTAATTTATGGCTTAATTCTGAACCTCTTGGCTTGCCATACTAATCCTAACCAAACGTATAATAAGCTACACACGCACCCCACACCACTACTAAACCTACCCATGCGTATCCTAGGCACGTGAAAAAATTTTTTCCGCGTATAAATTGCACGATAAACACACTGCGTGCTATAGAGACGCATTTAGTGTGACCGGGTTGATATGGCAACCAAACTTCACTGGTGAGACAAACGTGCGACAAACGGACGGTCAGGATGACGTTTTGGCAGGGGAAAACTGCTCAGAAAATGTAACGAAAATATAACAGAACGTTGTAGAAATGTAGCGGAGTAGAAAGTATAATAATTGCTGCAAAATGTAACGAAGTAAAAGTAATAAGTATGCACTATTGATTCTACTTAAGTAAAGTAAAGATATGTGAAAAATGTACTTAAGTAAAGTAACAAAGTATTTGTACTTTGTTACATTCCACCACTGTTTCCCTGGGATGGTGAACCATCTGAGGTCCCCACAGTGGATTACTGGTTCCGGGAGAGCGAGAGAGTTTGGGACGAAGCTCACCATCATCTGCAGAGGGCAGTTCGCAGATCCAAGACAATCGCTGACCGGAGGAGGATTTCGGGCCCAGTCTATGTTCCGGGAGATAAGGTTTGGCTCTCCACTCGCGATATGCGTCTGCGTCTGCCCTCCAAAAAACTTAGCCCCAGGTTTGTTGGCCCTTTTACCATCCTGGAACAGGTCAATCCCGTCACCTACAAACTCCAGCTACCACCGCAATACAGAATTCACCCCACATTTCACATTTCCTTGCTCAAACCCTTTCACGAAGCTCTCATTCCCTCCACAGAACCTGGCCACGAAGAGGACCCCCCCCCCCTCTTGTTGCTGGAAGAAGGGTACATCTACTCCGTTCGAGAAATCCTGCAGTCCCAACGTCGTGGTGGTCGATTGGAATATCTCGTCGATTGGGAAGGATACGGACCAGAGGAAAGATCATGGATCCCAAGAGTCGACATCCTAGATCCCACGATCATGGAAGAGTTCCATTCCAGCCATCCTCAGTACCCTGGACCTCATGGACGAGGAAGACCACCACGGCGCCGGAGACCTCGGCCCTCAGGAGCGGGCCCTGGGGAGGGGGGTAATGTCACGGATTGGCCAGGTTCTTCCACCACAATCACTCAGCGACAGGGGCGGATCTACCGGGGTGGCATAGGGTGGCAAATGCCACCCTAAAAGAAAGCCTTGCCACCCCTGCTGCCACCCCAGTTGGCAGCAACAAATTAAGTTATGGCCAATTTGACAATTTACGAGCGCGAATCTCCAAAGTCCGACGGCGCCGGTCTCTCTCGCGCAGTTCGCTTCGCTTTTATCCAGTCCGGCCCCTCATACCCGACTGCAGTGAACGCAGCACGAGATGACGTCAGAGTAACTGATTTGTTTGGAAAACTGAGTGGCGCGAAGCGATGAGCCAGGAGTTGCGAGGAAAGGAGACACAGGAGGAAAAAGGTAAAAACGGATTAACTATCTATCAAGAAATGGAATTATAATGAAAGCACAGTGCTAGCATAGTTGTGATGCTGATTTTGAGATGATAAAAATCAGGTTGAAGAACGTTATATACTATACATATAATGTTAGTTAGGTCTGACGTTTGTTCTGTGTAAAGTAGGCTAACGTACAAAAGCTAATATTAATTAAACTCTGTCAAGGAAAACATTGTAGCCTAAAGTTATTTTGAATGTTACAGAAATGAAGAGGAAAGGTAGCATATGCAGTTTTTTCTCACCAAAGAGAAAGGCGAGAGAAATAGAAAATGAACATCTGAGCAAGGTAGACGGAGAAGCTGAGGAGGAAGGAGAGAGAAAAGAGGTGGAAGGAGAGGACGAAGACGAGGTGGAGAGAAAAGGGCAACAGAAATGTGGCACAGATAGAACACAAGGCCAAGGCGACCAGGGACAGGAGGAGGTGGGAGAACACCACAGCGGTGAAGATATGGAGGGAGAGCATCACCAAAATGAGGAGGGAGAAAGCGAGAGACAAGATAATGTGCAGGGCTCAGACAGTGAAAGGGAAAGGAGAGTGCCTGGGCCATCACCAACGATCTCCAGTCGAGCTGGTCCACATGGTATGGAAATTATTGCTGCACAGTATACTAAGTTACATATGAATAAGAACAACAAATGACAAAGACAGACATTTGTTATAATATTTAAGAGACATTGCTTAGACTTCAAATAAATATAAAAATTCATGTTTGCTTAAATATGAATAATTAGGGAAAGTTGTCAGTGTGAAAGTGTGATGAGATGGGGAGATGATTTTTTACATTTTGTGTAGGATGTATTTTAGATCTATTGCTCAGATGAAAAAATAAAATAAAATGAAACAAATGAACCTAAAAATACTCTCCCAGGCTAAAATGTTAGTGTGTGTTAACACAGTCTGATGGTTATAATAACCAAAGGTGTCAAACGTATTCACATTCGTTACTCAAGTAGAAGTATAGATACTAGGGTTTAAAAAGACTTCTGTAGAAGTTGAAGTATCAACTCAAGCTTTTTACTCAAGTAAAATGTAAAAGTGCTGGTTTCAAAACTACTTAAAGTATAAAAGTAAAAGCAATGTAAGGGAAAGAAATGCCATTAAGGACAAAAGCTAAGGCTTCGCCACAGGGGCCTATAGTGCACTACCCCACCTCAAAACAACATCTTTCTAATGGCCGTAGTGACTATAATGTTATATTAAAATGTTAATGTTGATAAAAATTTGGGATGCACTAGGCTCCCTGTTTCAGCCGCATATATGCCCATTGAAAATGAATGCATTTTAGTACAATGCAAATACATTAAAGAACCATATGTGTAATACATGTCCGATGGATCGTGCACAAACCAATAGGGTGTCGGAATGGTATATTTTTATACTTCTCATCCAACCACAATCAAATCCGGATGGTGTGATTTATCTGGATGGGCTTTTTTTTCCCTTTTTTTTTACATTGACAAGCCGGAATGAAAACAAGCCAAAATGAAATGGGAGTAACGAGGCTATTTTTAAAATGTAAGGACTAAGGAGTGGAAAGTAGCTACAGATAATTGAGTGGAAATGTAAAGAGTAGAAGTAAAAAGTCGGCTGAAAAATAATAACTCCAGTAAAGTATAGATACCCAAAATGTAACGAAGTATTTGTACTTCGTTACTTGACACCTCTGGTTATAACTAATCAATGACAGTTCCTAATTGATTATGTTTTTTACTAGTTGTAATATTTACTAGTTGAAATATTGTATAATTAATTTAGATGCAATTCAGTATGAATCTTTCCTCCCCACCATCTTCTAGATGTATCCAAGTCCAGGTGTGAGGTGCCAGTGCAGCCAATGCGCGAGAGTTTCCCTAAAACCCTCCAGGGAGGAGCCAGGAGAAGCTTCCGCAGCGACTGGTACAAATCTCATCCCTGGTTAGAATACTCGCAATCGAAAGATGCAGCTTACTGTTTTGCTTGTAGACATTTTTCCCTCCCCGATGCTCCAAGGACTGTTTTCACCTCATTCGAGGGTTATAGTAACTGGAAAAAGGCTACAATGAAAGACAGTGGTTTCTGTTCTCATGCCAGATCTGAAGGCCATGTAAATGCAATGTTCGCATGGACAGAGAACAAGAAAATTATGGATAAAAATACCTCAATGTTTGGACTAATGGATGAGCAAAAAAAGAAGCAGGTGGCTGAAAATCAATACTACATTAAAACATTAGCTGAAATTTTAGTTTTAACAGCCACAGAAAACATAGCACAGCGGGGTCACAGGGAGTCTCTCGACTCAGAAAAAAAAGGTGTTTTTCTGTCTATGTTAGACCTACTGGGTAACCATAACCCCATCATTAAAAAAAGACTTGAACAACAAGCTAAAAATGCAAAATACACGAGTAAAACAATACAGAATGAAATACTTGAGTGCTTGGCTGCAATGGTCAAAGAAGAAATCATCCAGGAAGTTAAAACGAGCAAGCAGTTTTCAGTTATTGTTGATGAAACTAAAGATGTTCAGAAAAAAGAGCAAATGTCATTTGTTCTGAGATATTTTTACAACGGTGTGGTACATGAAAGCTTTCTGGAGTTTGAAGTGGCAGAACACCTGGATGCTGCCTCCTTAAGTGACAAGATTATCTTCTTCCTTGAGAAGCATGGGCTGGAGTACAAGAAAAACCTTGTAGGCCAGGGCTACGATGGTGCAGCAGTGATGCGCGGGGCACATGCAGGTGTTCAGGCTAAAATAAAAGAAGTAGCCAAACATGCCTTCTATGTTCACTGTAGTGCACACTGCTTGAACTTAGTTATAGTAGACGCTGTAAAAAGTGTGGCAGATGCAGGAAACTTCTTCTCATTAATGGAACGACTGTATGTATTCATGTCTGGGTCTTATGTACATAACAAATGGCTGGAAGTGCAGCGGGAGATGTTTGATGGTGTACCAAGGGAACTCCAACAGCTAAGTGATACACGTTGGGCCTGTAGGCACATAGCATGTCGCAATGTTATGGACAGGTTGCCTGCAATAGTACAGGTGCTTGAAGAGATCGCATCTGAGAACTATCCACAAAGAGCTGTAGAAGCAAGAGGGATATTGGCTCAAATTGATCTGAATTTTGCTGGATGTCTTGTTCTGTTCAGAAAGGTCCTGAGTGACTCCAAGTTTTTATCAGACATGTTCCAGTCTAAAACAGTGGACTATGCTAAGGCTGTTGAACTTATTGAAGCACTTAAAGAGACACTGGTCCAGTACCGTAGTCAAGCCTCTTTTGAGGAAATGTGGAGTGAAACACTTGATTTATGTCAACGAAGTAACATTGATACAACTCAGCGAAAACCAAAGAGGCCAAGACAGACAGCAAAGGTGCTTCAGGATACTGTCATCCACTGCACCTTGGGACAGCATGTAGTTCCAGATAGCAAACACACGTTTTGTGTCTCTGTGTACTATCCAGTTCTGGATAACATGATTGGAGAAATAGGAAGAAGATTTTCTAACACAAATTGTAACATTATGCAGGGTGTCCAGGCACTAAATCCGTCAAGTCCAACTTTTTTGAGAGAGGAGTCTGTTCTGTTATTAGCTGAAGCTTACGATTCAAATATTGAGGATCTCAAAAACGAGTTACATCAGACGAGGAGAGTACTAGACAGACAAAAGGGGGAAAAGGAGAGTCCTACCACTCTAATGGAGTTCACTCAGTTTTTGGACCCATACCAGGATGTGTTTTATGAGTTGTTCAGGTTGTGTAAAATAGCGGTTGTTTTACCTGTGACCAGTGCATCCTGTGAACGAAGTTTTTCATCTCTCAGGCTCATAAAGACTTATTTGCGGTCAACTATGTCAGAAAAGAGACTATCGAGTTTGGCTGTACTCAGCATTGAATCAAAACGTACAAGGGCATTAGATCTAGATAAATTTGTGAGGCGTTTTGCTGAGCAACATGGAAATCGCCGCATTCAGCTGTTATAGGCATGAAAACTTAATGTTATGCTCACTGGTGAGCCTTTACAAAGCTGTTAAAATGATGACCTCAACAGAATCTGTACTTTAAATTTCTGTGTATATCTTTGTTTTGGCAACTGAGAACCTTTAATAAAACCAAAGTAAAACCTTGTTTGAGTGCCGTGACCCATTTATTTCCACAGTGTATTTATGCTCACTTTAGTACAGCTCAGTCCATAGGTCTTCATATCATGGGTACGTTTTTCTTTGTATAGTTTCTTCTTCTACAAATGCTGCCTGCAACGCTGCCTCTCTGGGGCTGTTTACACCTGGTCACTTCATGCTCAGATCGGATAGCTTTCTGATTTATCAAAACTATTCCATTTACACCTGGTCACATAATTGTGTTTTTGCAAGACGGATATAAATCCGATCTTCAATTCCCACGATATATGCAGATTTAATGTAGTTCACGTCACCAAAGCAACAGATATGAGCTGCATTTTATTGATCATCAGCTAATTTCAAAATCAAAGAGAGCAATAAGAGTAAGTCTGCGACTTACTTTCACTTTGATTTGCGATAGTTTGCACGTTGGCTTGATGAATAGATGCTCAGCTGCTCATCTGCGGTGATGCGTGTTGCAGTTGCGTCGTCTATAAGTCATGTTATAGTCAGATATGACGAGTCGTCATATCTGACTATAACATGACATATGGCCTATACAAAACGCTCTCACACGTTTATTTTTTAGCATTTTTGGGAGGAGTCAAATTTACATATGTGGTTTAACAACCAGATGCATTTACACTTGTCCAGTTTCGTCTGGAATGCGGCCCAGACCACCTCCTGAAGTGGTTTGAGAGATCGGATTCAAATCTGTCTCGAATGCGTTTCGGAGGGCATTTACACCTGGTCTTATCACGATCGGATAGCTATCCCATCACAGAAAACACATGAAGTGGCCAGGTGTAAACAGCCCCTCTGACACAGTCAAAAACTGTTTGCTTCCCCTCTCACACATCTGCCACTCATCACCTGTGTATTATCTTAATGCTTTTCCTGTGATAATACCCTTCTGTCATACTTCTCTCCTATTAAGTGAGATCACATTGTATGGTCACTTATTCCTAATATGAACTGTTTCACATGAAACCCCAAATGCAAGACATTGATTGCATGAGATTAAGTTTGTCTGTATGAGTTTGTAAATGGCAGCCTTTGCCCTTTTGTATTGTGTACATACTATTTCTCATCAAACTCTGATAACTGTGATTTAAATTCAGTATATAAACGTCTGCCATAAGTTGCCACCCCTCAAAAATTCCTGCCCCCCTCTCGCCACCCCATAAATATTTTTCTAGATCCGCCCCTGCTCAGCGATCACAGTCACCTGAGTTCTAACGAGAGACACCTGCACCCCATCTGCCACTCTGCTTCATATTATTCATTCACGGACTGCACTCAAGATTTATCCATATCTGAACTCGGATACTCACTCATTTCTGCACGTTGAGATATCCTGTTACTCTGCTGTTTAATTAAACTTTATCTTCACTACTTAACTTGTTGTCCGTCTGCTTCCGTAACAGAATCAGGCTATTTCATGATTATAAACCCATCAACAGGTAACCACCATCACCTGATCTCGTTTCACTTTAGCTTTCTTTGCTGCTGCAAATATGTTTAACTATCACACTGTCACAGCAGCCAAAAAAGACGAAAGCTATAATAAGATTTAAGAGCCCAAGTTATGGAAACACTAATTACTGTTATTTTAACTTCTAATGAAACACATTAGAGTTAAACCCTTGTTAATTCTCAATAAAAACTTTTGTAGACGTCTGACAGAAATAAAGTTAGTCTGGTTAGTAATAAGTGAAGCTGGTAGTGCTGTTTGTGGAGTTGTTTAATCCTCCTCTGCTGAGATCTTGAGAGATTTAATGTCTTCTTTTATCTTCAGTTGATTTCATCTAAGACTGTGGCTGAAGTCAGTTAGTTCTTGTGTTTCTGCTCGTCTCTTTTTCTGTTCTCTTCTTTTCTTTAGTGATTCTGCTTGTTAACAGGCTTATTAAAGGCCCTTGCACACCGAGTCCGAAAATTTCGTATGCGTTTTTTCGTATTTGTGATTCGGTGGCTCTGAATTGTCAAAACACCATTCAAACTGCTTGCTACGGATGCGAAAAACACAGAAAACCCGATTTTTTTTTATGACGGACGAAAGTTTCGGAGGCAGTGTGCAAGCGTGATTGACATAACGTGAGGTCGTATTTATTTTTTAACGTGCGAAAATTTCGGACTCAGCGTGCAAGGGCCTTAAGGCTAAGATGACTGGCTCAGATAAGGTCCAGTTCTGGTTTATTTCTTTGCTCTTGTCTTGGCTGACATGTGGCATTGCTATGGCCTGCTTGTGGCCCAGATCTGGCGAACAGGAGTGAGTCACAATGTTGCTATGTGGGCATTTATATAGCATTTTTTCTCGGCACTCAAACATATAATTTGTCCTCCCATCACATATTTTTTTCCCATCGTATGGCCCTCCTCATTATGATGATACGATACCCATGTTCTTCAATCATCATCTGTGTCTGCATTAGTAATGTCTTATATTTACAGATTAACTGTAATAATGTGATGCCCTCAGTAATGTGGCACCAAAATGCACTGTGACATTAAAGTACTCTGGCAATTTTTACAGTATAAGATGGTTATACTTTTCATGCCATAGCAAATAACCACCATGTACACATTCAACCCTCAAGCCCTTAAAGTCTTTGAGTGTGGATTTCGATTTGAAATAAATTTGCACAGAGTTTTGCCAGTGCTGCAGAGAACAACGAGTATTGGCACGAACTTTGCTGGGTGAACAAAACAGGAAGCTCAGTCTGTGGTGAGTCATGAACATTTGCATCCTGCAGGCGATAGTAGGGTGGATACCTCAACAAAAGGAATAGCTGTCATTCAAACAACAGAATCCTAGATATGTGTAATTCTAGGCACCAGTGGTTCATTCAGGGCAGGGCAGATAGAGTCATATTCCTTACTGCACTCTTAGAAGAGACGTTTGAACTGTTCAAACACCTTTAAACCTGTTTTCTGACCTAAAGAACTAAGGCTCAAAGCAGAGCATTGCAAAGTATGCCTTCTAATTCTACAAATTTTTAAATAAATCGTATTACTAATCAACCAACAAGTTATCAGAAAGAATATTTTTAATTCATTTTATTTAAGCATATATCAAACTGGCTTAATACAAACTACAATCATCACATACTTTCTTACCAAACCTAATTAATTACTTTTTATATAGTTTTTAAACATGCAGTTGAGAAAATCTCATTATTTTTTTCTGTTCTCGTTCATTTTAATACATCTATCCATTGTTTACAGTAATACTGCTTTTACTATAATGGTAACACTTTTTAATGCTATGGTTCACAAGTAAATGTATAAACATTTACATTACATATACGTGAAACAGGAAAACTAAACGCATTCTTTTTACAGTATTAGATTTATCTAGCATGGTAACCACAACTGTTTGCTATTTACACACAAGATGTATGTAAGTTTTGCAATTTTTCAGCATACTGCAGGATGGACTAAAAGACTGGAAAGAAGAGAGGTCAGAAGGGTGAGCAGAGCATATAAAAATATATTGTTCTTTTATGGAGTCTCTGCACTCATTCTTCTTCTTTTTTTTTTTTTGCTACTACAAGGCAAGAAAAACCAGTTTGATTCTCTAAAGTTTGAGTTTCGGATGAATCCCTCTTTGTGTAATGACAGTGTTTCCATTGTCTGCTTTGAAACTATGACATAAACTATGTTTATGTAAGTTTTAGCATCCTATGCTGTACAGTATATGAACCAAAGAGGATGTAATTGCTTTTCTCAATTTAGATATCAAAACTCCCGATGTAAGATTGGTTTTGACTGACACTATGAAGTATTGTTTTAGTTTAAATACAAAAATGGTATTAAAATAGACAATTTTTTCACGATAATGTAAGAAAAAATATTAATATTAATATTAATAAGAAAAAGAATATGAAGTGTCTGATATAAGTGATGCCATTGCCACTATCTAAAATATAGAGCAGATTTATGATTGCGCCACACCCTGCAAAAAGAAACACACTGAGCTTCTGAAACACATCCAGTAAGGAGCAGAGAAAATAGAAGAACACTGTTAGAGCTCCGGTTTACACGTGGTTTTAAGATGCGATTTGGTTGATCACATGTGGACGACGCTAAATACATGTGTAAACGGAGTCTAAAAGTTTTGAGCTTCCAGAAGTTGTTG